CCTGCGAAATATAAAGGAGGCTACTTCCCGTACGCGTGCAAGATTACCGACGACTACACGAAAATGAAAGAAGCGTACCTGCTTTGCAAGAAATCTGACGCGAACGAGGCGGTGCACACTTACATCATGTGCGTCGCAGCGGCACGAGGCTACCGGATCGAGACAATCCGCTACGACAAGGGAGGCGAGAACACCGGATCCGAATTTTGAGACTACTGCCAGAATTCAGTTATCAAGTTCGAATACGCCACCACCAACACCCCTACAAAAATTGGTGTATCTGAACGGGACGGACAATCTCTGGCCGGAGTCACCCGGTGTCTTCTGAAGGATGGAGATTTTTCGCCGTCCATGTGGGGGGAGTTATTGCTTGCCCTCTGCAGTTCCATTGCTTTCGTTGTCTGTCTCGTTTATGGCGGCCAAAGGGCCAAGGTGACGGTAACGGCGACTGTATCGGCTGCTTTAGTGGAATGCGTTTGGCATGGTGCAGAGCGGTCGACGCACTTAGAGGACGTACGAGCACCGCAGGGATAGCCGGACACAAATGTGTGCATGTGGCTTGTTTTGACGTAGGCGTGGTTGTTCCGAATTGTAACCACACACAAACATGAACGATACACACACCTTCTAATACAACCTCGCGTGATTCGCGTGAAACCTCAGGTGCCCTTCACCTTCGCAGACAACGATCGTGTGCTGGCCGCTGGTGTCGACCCCAACGTCGTGCACCAGCCGAACATAACCTTCGACAACTTCACCACGATGAAAAACGATATCATCAACGACCACGGCGACATGTACGTCAACTTCAAGAAATCCGAACACCACGAAGAGATGTACTCCTTGTGCAAGGGTAAGTGTATTTCCATTCTGTTTTTCTTTTCTGTTGGCAGGCCGCAGGGAACCCTCCCCCCCCCTCCCCCGTCGTTTGAATTCTGTGGTATATAGTGGAATGCTGCGGCGGTCCAGTAAACGTGGTCCATTGCAGAAGAACCATAGCACTATAATTGGGAAACCAGGAGCCCGTAGATGTCGTGCCCCGCCGGTTGTTGCGCGTTCCGGACTTTGTGGGTGCCTTCACATCAGTCCCGCGAGCCTATCTCTTGGAAACGCGTGAACTCCCATACAGCACGTTAATGTACCGGAGTACGTCAATTTTAAATGAGGCGGCATCGACTACTTTCCCCACTCTACAATAGTGAAGGAATCCAACCATATGATGAAGGTAGACCCACCACTTATTTCCTCCGCTAAGCCCAACCACGTGCGGCACCGTTTGGTGCATCGCCGCTCAGCGAAGATACGGGGATGTCCATAGGCTTGTGCTTGTTTCGTGCTTTGTAAAGTCTTGCCTTGCCCTCCCGGAAGCGAGTTTGCTGGGACGGGCAAGAGACTCCCGACGCAGGAGAGCCTCGAATCGAAGACTATCATGTCTCTTTGGCTTTCTTTCTTTCTTACGTAGTTGAAACTGGAGAAATACCTCAGGCTCCAAGCACGTACCAGCTCACCCCGACCCCCGTCGCCCCATGACTATCCCGCGCTGACCGCACTATGCAATACACCAGGAAGCCTGGAAACGTGCTACTACGGCCTGGTGTGCGAAAAGTACCCTGGGATCGAGCAGGCTAGCAGGCAGATGCTCCCTGAAGGCACATAAAGCGAAAACACGGGGGTGGAGGGGTGGCGGACGAACCGAGAGGCGCCGAAGGAGCCGCGGCCGACGCCAGCAGGAGGGCGGGGGCAAAGAGGGACTCGAAGGAGAGGAATGCCACCCTTGGCGTGCAAGAGAAGAAGAAAAAGACGAAGGGCAAGGAGATCGAGGACGCGACGAAGGTCGCCGCCTCAGCAGCAACGGAGGAACTGGGTCTTGGGGCGGGCTTGGCGTCGCTGCTGGGGATGCCTTCAAGTCCCAGTATTCCGACGCCCCCACCTCCTTCTACGACACCATCGAGGGGTGCGAAACTAAGAACAACAAACTCGAATACTCCGCCCGTCTCCGCCAATCACTTGCGGACTTCAAGGCTGACATCAGGAAGGAGAAAGCGCTGGGCGACGCCGCTGACCTGGAGGATATCCAGATCAAGGAAACCGAGCTGAAAAAAGTGAGGGCCGCCCTGAAAAAAGAATTGGCGGATGCCCTTTGAACTTGGAGCGGTGTTCGTGGTTGTGGCTGCGACGGAAAATTGGGCCGGGCGGGCGGGGGAGAGCAGGGGTGGTGGGTGGTAGGTGGTGGGAAGGCGTTGCTGTAGAGACTGTGCACGATTGTTGTGCATACCTGCGCCCGTTCCCCTCTGTATCTCGCTGCTGGGTGAAGGAATAGACTATCTTGGATAAATTGGCTGATATTTTGCCCATGACGTAAAGAACATAATGCAGTACCGGTGGGGCTTCCTTTCTAACGTCGTGGGGGGCAACGTCGCGGTTCTTGGCTGTTGTAACTACTTTTGATTCCCCACATGCATGTAGGGCCGGGCGGGGTAGCCGTGACTCAACCCCGACGTGGCGGCTAACCGTGTGGGCGCCTTATTTATTTATTTTTTGGTTTTGACTAGTTGCTCACAGTTTTCTATTCTCGAACTGGCAGGAGGACGATTTCGCTATTCCGTATCCCCTTGATCGATGTTGCCTTCCCGCGGTAGGAACGCTTTTTTCGAACGCCCACCCAGAGGCTCGTGCTTTTTTCTTGTGATGTAGCTGTATTTTACTTGTAACGTCTTGTCTTCATTAGTTGTTTGGCAGCGCCCTGCCTCCAGGAGCGACAGGGTGAATTCGTCCATTTTTTGTCGACCACACACCGGGTGATGTTGCCGGAGGCAGTAGCTGCCTGCAGCAGCCAGGGTTTCAGAGCAACTGTCATGATAGGGGTTGGAGATGTATCGTTTTGTCATTGTGTTGCATGGTCGGTTATCTGAGGTCGCTCGGCTTCTGATTTGTACGCGATATGATACCTAGTTCGGGTTGGGCATTCAGAAAATCGTCATGTACTACTTATTACTTGATGTAGAGATAGTTTCTTTAGCGATCATGATTCCGCTTCAGGAATGAATGTTGTGCCAGTGCATACCGTGGATTGTGATTTCTGCAGTTCCCTGCATACGCAGGGCGCGACGGACAGTTTAACTCTTTCTTGACTGGCTCAACGATTGATTTTTATTTTGCCCTGCCTACCGACCCAAGGTTAGCTCCGGTGGTTTGTCGGAGCCATGCTTTCCATCTCGGCAATGGCATCTACATAGCGCAGCTTGTAGAATTGTAGCGTGCGTACAACGTCCGCAGCAACATATTGGTGAAATTGAGAGCGAAGTATCTGATTGAGAGCGAGATTGCGCGATGCGCTGCAGCTGGAC